CTATTCTACAATCTATTCTGTACAACCCTCTCCTTTTTTCTCTCTCACTCCCTCTCTCTCTCTCTCTCTCTCTCTCTCTCTCTCTCTCTCTCTCTCTCTCTCTCTCTCTCTCTCTCTCTCTCTCTCTCTCTCTCTCTCTCTCTCTCTCTCTCTCTCTCTCTCTCTTTCCTCCCCTCTTCCAGTCCCTCGCGCGGCAGAAAGAGAAACGGCACATTGGACCAGCTGTCTGATTTCCGTGCGCGTCGTCCCCCCATCAGCTGACGTCGCGGTCAAGTGTCAAAATATTCGCCGCGGGTATGCGTTGACTCTCACTCTTCCGCAAGAGCGTCGAGTCCCGCTATTCCTTGAAGACTGTCCGGTTTCCGGTTTCTCGCTACTCCTGTCACCTTCGCGTAGCCAATGACTCATTTTCGTCGCTCGTCTGGTCGCGGACTTGTTTTCTTAATTTATTTATCTTCTTCTGTGTCTGGACGGTCAGTTGGATCGGATTTGCGAGTTGAGATGAAGAATAGAAAGCGAGCATAAATATCGCCAGAAAAGAATACGTTGTCACGTACACAGTTTACGGCCGGAACGTGCATCTGGCGCTCGGGAGTCCGTCAAGCGGATCTACCGGTAGTAGCGATTAGAAGTATAATTCGCTTCCTCGATCGGTATCTTGTATCATCTGCATAGAAGTTTACTCAGCATATTGACGAAAGAATAGCACAAGCGCCGCCTATTCGTTAATGGAAGCCTCTATCGAGGTGATGCAAGTTTAAATTCCCCGCCGGACGACCGCGAGCAGACGATCTCTCTTTTTGATCTGGGAAATTCTAGGTAAATAAGGTTCTACTCTTCCGGCCATCAAATCAAGTTTACGGTATCTTTGTACCCTTCGTATATCTAGCAAAGTGTTTTTATGTCTGTTTCGGCTAATTTAAGTGCCTAGGCTTATGTGTTTGTCAAGTAAAAAGGTATCCGGGGAGCGCAATCCCGAGTAAAAGCGGGTGCGAGGCCATGCGCGGCGCCTTGTGGGAGTGACGTCATCAAATCGATCCCGAGCAGCTTGCTAGAGTTCGCCATTTTGACATTCGCTCACAGGAGCGTAGTGTTAGTGAAATTATCGTAAAATTCTGTCGCCATCCGTCCCTTTACCTCTATTATTAGGATAGGATTAATTTTTCAGTCATCCGTCATTGGAACGAGCCCAGGTAAGTGGTCATCGGAGGCATTTTTGGGGCGAAATTCGTCCAAAAGCGTAGCAGACGACCCCGATCCATCGGCGGGTTTCCGACGGTGTATTCCGATGTTATTGACCAACTCTCGGGACGCACGGGCGCTGGAGAGACCCTGGGCCGTGCACGCACTCCATCCTCTTGGCACGGTGGGTTGTGGGGGTGCCATGGGCGTGGGTGTGGGCGGGGTGGGCGGCGGGTGACGCTGTTGGCAGCCGATGGGTGTTCTCTCGAGGAGGAGGTCACTTCCGCCCCTTTTCCTCGCGGGTTTCGGGTCTTTGGGCGGCCTCCGCGGGCGTGGGCGGCGCTCCGAGGCCTTCGTGGGCTCGAGGAGGAACCCACGTACGCCCGTGAACCAGTAGTCCATGTAAATACAAAGTAACAAGAGCGAGAGAGCGAAAGGAACGAAGGAATCCCTTCCGTGGAAAGGTTTCCTACGGTCGTCGTCTTATGTTTGTGTCTCTTTCTCCCCGTTTGCGAAGCAGAGGAGCAGGGAGGAGGGAAAGGCTGCGCTCCCCTTGTGACCTCGGTTGACCTACGGAATGGAAATAGGAGGACGAAGGGTAACTCGTCTTAGTCGGGGTTTCCTCTTTGTTTTGTCCTTTAAAAATGGCAGGTTGGATTTTCCCTTTCCATTGCGGGCTTCCCTTCGCTTTCCCGGAGTCGCGTTTTATCACTCGAGGTTTAAGGTTTTGCTAGAATCTCGGTCTTTGGTCCGTTCTTGTTATCTGCTTATTGCTAGAATCTCGGTCTTAGGTCCGTTCTTGTTATCTGCTTTATTGTAGGTTTCCTTTCTCTTGGTTCTGTTCTCTAGGTTTGTTATTGTTCTTTGAATTCTTAGAGCATCGACATTTTTGTCTTTTGCGGCTTAATTGTGGAAATTTCCGTCTGCGGGGTGCTTTTGGTGGGTTTGGGGTAAATTTCCCAGGTCAGTTCTGAAAATTGTGCCTTTTTTTCCATAATGGGGAAATCTCAGTGACAGAAGTGAATGGAATTTTTTTTCTATCCTGAAACAAAGGAAGGAAGTAAGAGGGGGGAAGGAAATAATTAGGAATAAAAAAGCAATGATAAGTTGCTTAAGAAAATTGAAGAATTCTTGCACTTTTTGCCATGACCCAAATTTCTTCTTCAGTCACTGTGTGAGTCTGAGTCTTGAGTCTTTGTTAAATCTATCTTCCTTTTGTGCTTTGGGAAATGTCTTCAGTGTTTATACTGTTAGAATTATGAATTCTCTGTTGCATAGGTGTGGTGGGGACGTGTAAGTAGACCTATACTGTGAATGGAAAAAAATAGATGTTTATTAGTTTTTATTTTCTCCTGCTGCTTTATTTAAGCCTTGACACAGAATAGGACAGTTTGTAGCAAGGCCAGTTCAGAAAGCTCCCAAGATGGCTACTGTGGAGGAGGTTTGTTTAGATGGTGTAAGATATTAACTGTTCTGTTCTGTTTTATTTGTTTTAGGTTTGTTGCTTTTGTCCGAGGCTGTTTCTTTATCTCTGGGCTTGGATTAATGAGTGATAGGCTGAATACTATGCTTGTTGTTAGGGGTTTTAAAGTTGATGTTTTATAATGGTGGGTGTGACAATGATTTGCAAGCTTAAAATTATCTTGATCCTTAAGTATTAGGTATTAGTAGTCCTATGATTGTATTGTATGATTTTTTAGATAATTGACATTGCGTGTGAAGTGTTAAATGGGTTTTGTTGACTGTGGTTGAATTATTTATTATGGCTTGCTTTTTGTAGTTAAAAAGTGGGTAATGATACCGAGTGGAGCACAGAGAGAGAGAGAGAGGAAATACATTGCCATCTTATAAAGTAATGAGTCTTAAACAATGCAGTTACAACTGCTGTGGCCTCAAATTTACAGTGAAATGACAAAAATATCCACTGCATATCAGGGTCCACAACACCCTAACACAGCCAGAGTTCTTAACCCTTTGCTGCTGGGTGGCATGTATGTACATGCCATGGCCTGCCTGGACTACATTCTGTTTGGCATGTTCATACATACATACCATGGCGTACCAGTCCTGTTTCCCGGGGACATGTACGTTCATGCCATGCACACTATGGTGCCGAGATGATCCCCCGGCAGTGGGGTCCGGCCATTATGAATACAGCATAGTGGCCGAGAGAGGGAAACCCCTCGGCAGCATAGGGTTAATGTCATGTTTTCTATAAGTTGGCACATTGCTAATAAAGGGGTGTGTATGGGGAGAGGGGGAGGGGGGCTTGAAATGATTTATATCAGTAGCTTCTAAACCTTACTGTGACGGTACCAGAAGTCTATGGGTGTCACACATTCTGGTGAGTTCTGGCAACCGTCCAGCCATTTGGCTGGGAGTCCGCTACGTGTAGTGGAACTTCCCGCTCGACTCTAGTGTGTTGTGATGCCTATAGCCATACCTGTCGTAAGAAGTTTTTTATCCATAACTGCTATAGGTGTGCCTGGCCATAAGTGGTTAAAGTGTGGTACGACTTATTATTACTTTATAGATATTTTTAAATGTTTAAATTGTAGCAAATGTTGTATATAAGTGTTTAAGTTTGTCTTTGTCAAATTGTATATTTTTTATCCTTTACTATAGGCTTTTGTGAAATTATGATACTTCAGGTTTTATTGGTGGAAGTGTTTCCAGAAATGCTTTTCAGTCTCTCTCTCTCTCTCTCTCTCTCTCTCTCTCTCTCTCTCTCTCTCTCTCTCTCTCTCTCTCTCTCTCTCTCTCTCTCTGTTTCTCTCTCTCTCTCTGTTTCTCTCTCTCTCTCTGTTTCTCTCTCTCTCTCTGTTTCTCTCTCTCTCTCTGTTTCTCTCTCTCTCTCTGTTTCTCTCTCTGTCTCTTTCTCTTTCCCTGTCTCTCTCTCTCTCTCTCTCTCTCTCTGTCTCTCTCTCTCTGTCTCTCTCTCTCTCTCTCTCTCTCTCTCTCTCTCTCTCTCTCTCTCTCTCTGTCTCTCTCTCTCTCTCTGTCTCTCTCTCTCTCTCTCTCTCTCTCTCTCTCTCTCTCTCTCTCTCTCTCTCTCTCTCTCTCTCTCTCTCTCTCTCCCTCTCTCCCTCTCTCTCTCCCTCCCTCCCTCTCCCCCCTCCCCCTCCCTCTCCCCCCTCCCCCTCCCTCTCTTTCTCTTTTTCTTTCTCTCACTGGTAATTGTTTAGAATACCTTCACATGACCGATTATGGTTTTGATGGATTCCGCTAAACCTTTACTACCCAATTATGCAGGACTTTTGCCATGGAAACTCCTCGAACCCCACATTGGCATCAATAGCAGGGGAATGCCTGAGTGGTACCAGGGAATTTTTGGGGTAAAATATGAATAATATAAATTCAATGTATCTATCACTATAGTACAAACAGGTGAACCTCATCCAAAACAAAACTTACCCGTAATCTACCATACAAGTTTAAAACCATCCAGACATACTGACTTTGGGAGTCCGTTCTAATCACTGCCTAGTGCCACAGTGATTCCCCCCCCCTACTCAACCAAGTAAAATAAGTCAGTTATTGGCCAATTATTGCTACATAAGGAACCAATTCGGGTTCTGTCTTGCCACTATGTATGTGATGGAGGTTTGTTAGCATTTACAGAGGCCAGAGGATCACTTGTTAAGGGCCATTGCTAAATAGTTATTAGAATATCTTGTTTCTGATCTGCAAAGTTTTTTCATGTTCTTATTAAATTTATTTATAGAAATACATTCACAGCTTTCTTTGATAGTGATTGAGTTTTGGGTTCTATTTTTATCAGACAGTACATATTAAAGTTGACACATGTTTATTTGAGT